AAAAAGGAATAGTTAATGTTAGATCCAGTTAATCTTTTGGCACAGACTGATATTCTACTGCTGTGTAGTTTTGTTTCCCTGATGTAACTTCACCTCTTTATTTGAGAAGTCCCTTGCTGCATCTTCTGCCTCCTACCCTGCTCTGCATGTGCAGCTCTTTCCCCCTTCCACATGAGTGTGGTGCAACCAGGCTATTTCTAAAGTGCTTTGAGAACTTACACAAAAACCTGTTACCACAGGAACTGCAGGTACTATGTCATGGTTTAAACCCAGTCAGGCAACTTGTTCACTCACTCCCCCCACTTCTTTCCCTCCCCTACTCCTGGAGGGACGGAGAGGAGAATTGAAAAGAATGCAACTCCCACGGGCTGAGATAAGAACAGCTTAGTAACTAAGGTATAACGCAAATCCCTACTGCTACCACCAATAATAACAATGATAAAGGAAACAACAAGAGAAGAGAATACAACAGCTCAGCACCAGCTGACTGATAACTCACCCCCTCCAGCCAGACCAAGCTCTGACCGATACCTCCTCCAACCCCGCAGTCTACCAGCCCTTCTGGGGAGCTCTCAGTTACATCCTGGGCATGACGTGCTGTGGTATGGAATACCTCTTTGGCTAGCTTGGATCAGGTGTCCTGTCTCTGCTTCCTCCTGGCTTTCCCTCCTCCCTGGCAGAGCATGAGGCTCACAAAATCCTTGGCCAAACCAAAACATCGCTATCAGCTCTGTTCCCAGGCTGAAAGTCAAAACACTGCACTGCACCAGCTACCAAGAAGGAGAAAAATGACTGCTACTGCTGAACCCAGGACATACTACTTATAGATTTCCTATGATCAGCCCTGCAATCTTGATATCCCTGGAAGCTGGAGAAGGCTTTTTCCCTGGAAAGATGGGATATGTGCATGCTTGCCCAGGATTGCCTCCAGCTGAAGGAAAGCTGAGCCTTCTTCCACACCATTCTGCCCAGGTTTTACCTTGAGTGCTCATGCTTCATGCAACCTATTTCCAAGAAAAAGAATAAATCATTATTATGCATCTCTGCTCTGGAGCCAGGCTGAGAGAGCTGGGCTGGGTCAGCCTGGAGAAGAGAAGGCTCCCGAAGGGGAGACCTGAGAGCAGCTCCAGTGCCTAAAGGGGCTGCAGGAAACCCGGAGAGGGGCTCTGGACAAGGGATGTAGGGACAGCACAAGGGGAATGGTTTCAACCTGCCAGAGGGGAGATTGAGGTGGGCTTTTAGGCAGAAGCTCTTCCCTGTGAGGGTGCTGAGGTGCTGGCACAGGGTGCCCAGAGAAGCTGTGGCTGCCCCATCCCTGGCAGTGTTGAAGGGCAGGTTGGACACAGAGGCTTGGAGCAAGCTGCTCTACTGGAAGGGGTCCCTGCCCGTGGCAGGAGTTGGAGCTGGAAGAGCTTTAAGGTGCCTTCCAATACAAACCAGTCTGGGATTCTGATTGCTGGAAGGAATGTGCTTGAGTGCACATGGGGACCATGGTTAAGCCTGCCTGGCCAGCACCCTGCTGTCCTGTGTCTTCCTTGAGACCACATGGTCTTTCCACCACTCTGAGCCATAGACAGTAAAATTGTATCTCTGCCACATGCTGGACATGGGAATTGATGAGCTGTGGCCTGCAGTGCTGGCTGTCTTTGCAAGTGCTGCTGGCGGTAGCAGGAGGTGTGGGGACAAGTTCGGATCTAGCTGTTCCCAGAAGCAGCCATGAGCGGGGCCAGCCCTCACCATGCGGATGGCTAATGTGATCATATCACAGGTATTTCCAGCCTTAAACAGCTGCCAGGTTGGTATCAGAAGATAGGTTTTGCTGAGGCAGACTGTGATCGAAAGGTGGTTTCAGGTTTAAAGCTATAGAAGTAAGTTCAAGTGACAAATGTGGGGGTTTTGTGGGTTGTTATGAAATTCCAGTACATGCAGGGCATAGATCTTCATTTTAGGCAAGGGTTTCCTTTACAGCTGTGCAGGGTATTAGTCACCCGTCGGCTCTCCCACGTGAGTCAGCTCAAAGAGCTGCCATCATGAGGCTTAGCTGGAAACTGGTATTTCAGCACTCTCCTTGCTCAAGGGCCATCACTGTGCTGCTGGGAGAGGCCACAGCAGGGTGTGAGGAGACCTACACAACTGCAAGGAACCACGAGCAGGAGTGGGGACTTGTACCTGCCCAGTGGAGGCTGCTGGATCTCACGTCTCAGGTGCAAAAGGGCCAGGATCCATCTCTGCTGCATCCTCCCAGCCATTTCCTACATATTTCCTACAGTGTCCGGATACTGGAGCCAAAGGTATCAGCTTGGACTCCATTTGCAAGCTTGATTCAGCAAATCCCATCTTTCTAAACCTTTCCTTTCCCTTGCTCAAGTCCAGTCTCTCCTTCTCCTCCATGCACTTTGCTTCATAATGGCTGGGACTCAGTCACTCTCCCCATGGCACAGACTGGCTGCAGTGGTATTCCATGCTTTGATATGTGTGAATGGGACCTTGGGGTGGTGCAGGGGGTTACCCTGCTTGATGCACTCCTCATGGGGCTTTGACATGAGTGTGGGAGAGGTGGTGGTGCAAAAGCCATGAGGAGACCATTTTGGTGCTTAAACTGGTCAGTAATTTGGTGTATGTGTTCTAGGATAGTCACAAAACTGCTTAACAGGCACCACGGTTCACGTGCAATACCTGGGTGTCTGCTGCAAGTTCTTCCACCTTCCCGAACATCTACCCTGGCCCCTCCTCAGCTCATGCACATTCTGTAGGTCCTGCTGCTCTGAACTCAGTGCCCCAAACCAGCAGATGAAATAGTCTTGAAATGTCTGTCCCCCTCTTTCTTGTCCCTGCAGTGAGATTAGCTGTGGTAAAGGATGATAAACCCAGTGGCATTCATCTCACTGGAAAACGGAGGTGAAAGAAATGTTTGCTGTGTACACATAGCATGTGGCAGTGATGGAGAAAACATTTTAAAGCTGTGACGTGATGTTGCAAGCCAAATGAATGCCATCCAGGCCTGTACCTGAAGTCTGTGACCTTCTAAAGGGCACAGCTTGGCATCACAGCAGCATGTCTTCTGGAGGGGATGGGGCTGTCCAGGGAAGCCTCCAGGGTGATGGCTGCTGTGGAGGCAGTGTGGCCAGAGTCATCCTCACATGCTCATGCCGTGGAGCTGGCAGACCTCCCGCCAAACCTGTGCTCCTGCCTGGGGCTCCCAGGGAAAATTCAGCTTTCACAAGGGCCCTGTCCCTGTGGGTGACTGGAAGTCCTCTTCACTCTTTGTAGAAGAATGGGGTTTGCCTTGATGTCCTTCAAAGATGATGTGAGTGGGATGGGGGGTGCTGTTTGTTCCCCCACTTCTTTTCAGACACCGTCGTGTTTTGTGAGGTGCCCTCAAAGCACTCAGGAGAGCTTCTGGAAGGAAAGATGAGGGATTAGGGTAGAAATAAATGGAAGATCCCACAGTAGACAAGGAGGGGAAATGACTGGCCATTTTTACCTCCCTGGATGTGAAATTGCTGCTCCCAGAGCACACAGCACTGGGCAGCCCTGAGGAGGGGGAGGAGGATCCTACCTGTTCTCATTTTGAAACCACTTTCCTCTTCTCTGCCTTGTGCTTCTGCCATGCACCTTGCCAAACCTTGGAAGGTGCAGCCTGGTTGCAGAGTCATTGGATCCCATGTGTAAAAGAAGTGAGGGAGGGACATGTTGAAATCAATTTTTTGACTATTTGCCCATTCCCATCCAAGAGATTGAGATAAGAGTGAGGGCAGACTGAGGCTCCAGGATTATCAAGCCAAGAGGTAGGGAGACAAATGGCTAATAATACTTGCAGAGGGTCTTTTCATACCCAGTTTTCCTTTAAAGGGAAGATTATACCCTATAAGGAGGGCAATAATGCTTGTTCTTTTGCATATCTAGGTTTTTTATTCAGCAGCACCTATAACCCTGTGCACGAGTGAACAGCCAACTATTTGTAGCAGGGGCAGACTGTAACCCCTACAGCCTGTAAGGAAAAGGGGTTTTCCTTTAGGATGAGCTGTTTTTAAAAGGAATGGAAGGGCTCAGTGCATATATATGGTACATGCTCCCAGCTAGTTACTTTGGGAGGCAGACTGACGTTGTGGGGACGACATCATCCACTCCTTTTGAAAAACAAAGTCCCTTTGCAGCTCCTGTCTTGGGGCGTCTGGGGATGTTTTGCTAGTTGTCTGCAGGTTTGGGGCATGATGTTCATAGGGATTGTTGCTACTAATCAGAAATCTGTGCTAGTTCTGGGGCTACTTTTAGGTTTTTTCCTATTGTTTCTTGGACAAGGAGTAATTCAAGGTTTAAATATGATGAGATATGGGAGCTCAGTGACTTTTGTTGCAAGTATTTTGCAGAGCAGTTGGTCGCTGGTAAAACCCAGGGAAGAAAGAGGATATTTGCTCCTTTTGAAGCCTGATCACCAAATAACTCCCTTGACACACACAGAGGCTCAAGACCATACAAGCCCTGCACAGAGACCTTCTGTAGGGATCGTGCTGGCCTCTGATGGGTGGCGGGTGCTGCCCACCCTGCCAGGCTGTGCCTAAGCATTTCCCAATGGCATTACAAACCAGCCCCAACACAGTGATGGGCTGGGGAACTTCTGCACAGAAGCTGAACTTTTCCTCCCTAAAACCTGCAAAATCCCAGCACAGCAGCGTCTCCAAGCTGGAGAACAATTGCCTGATGCTTAGCAATATTTATGATTGCAGTGAATTTTATTTCTATGGCACTACAAGGAGAAGAGAGGTGAATTTGAAGATTAACTTAACTCTTACCAGTTGTTCTCTCTGTACTGGGTGAAATAAGAGATATTCCTTTGACCCCTGGTATTTTTTGTGGGCAAGAACCAGCCTGGGGATGCTGCGTCCATGTCCTGCCTTTAACTCGCTGGCTGCTCTTTGCTAGGCCAGATTTTGCTTTTGCAATCAAAGCTAAAAGCAAAGATGACAACAATCATTTTCAAATGCCATTGTGCACTTTACTTCTCTACTTCCCAGTGACAGCATTTTGCAGTGGAGCACGAGTGTGCTCCAAGGTGTGTGTCAAGGCAGAGAGATCCAGAACCGAAACCAGCTCCTCCACTGTGTCTCACTCCATCAACAAGAGAGGAGATGTTTTTAATCTCTTTGCCCAAGGTGAAGCAAATGCTAGGCTGGCTAAAATCAAGGCTGAGGCTGACAGGGCTGAGCAAGGAAGTCTGAGTGTGTCTGCTAGCATAGGGACAGGAACCTTCTTTGGGCCTCTACCACCAAACTGTGGAGTGCAGAGGAAGTGATGCTGAAGCCCAATTCATAGAATGATGGAATGGTTTGGGTTGGAAAGAACATTAGAATTCATCCAGTCCCAACCCCCTGTCACAGGCAGGGACCCCTTCCACTAGAGCAGCTTGCTCCAAGCCCCTGTGTCCAACCTGGCCTTGAACACTGCTAGGGATGGGGCAGCCACAGCTTCTCTGGGCACCCTGTGCCAGCGCCTCAGCACCCTCACAGGGAAGAGCTTCTGCCTAAGAGCTCATTTAAATCCTATCCAATAATATCTAACGTAATATCTAATAGAAATTTAATCTGAATTCCTCAGGAATACTGCTGGTTGGATAGGGCTTGGAGAAACCTAGCCTAAGGGAAGGAATCCCCGCCCATGGCAGGGGGTTGGAACTAGTTTCCAACCCAGACCAGTCTGTGATTCTACGATCCTATGAAACAGGAACCTATGAGAGTGCAGCATCACCCATGCTCATAGCCCTGCTTCACAGAGCCTGTGGCTTCTCAGCAGCCATATGCTTCTGAGGACAGTGGCAGCAGTCCAGCAGCAGTGACATGCAAGTCTCAAGTACAAGCTGATGTCCTTCCCTGAGCTGTGGGTCCGTCTACTGAGCAGTAAATGCTTGTGCAGCTCAACAGCCCTTCTGAGTTCTGGCCTGCTCTTAGTTCTGTGTGTGTAAGTACTTTGGACATCCAGGAGCAAAACAGCTTTTCCCTTGGCCTGCTGCTCTTCCTGATGCCCACTCACGCCTTCCCCCCATGTACCACCAGCACAGGCGTTTTGATAGGAATTAGCAAGGGGAGGGTGCTGCTGCAAGTCTGTGATAGGCAACTGCTCTGAATTGCAATCAGATAATGTATTTACCGAAATGAAAGATGACAGTGAAGCACAAGTTTTTAACTCCATTTCCTGCTGCTTTTTTTTCCTCAATAACCAACTCTGCCTGGACAGCCCGTTCAGGAAAAAGACCCTGTGCCCTTCCCCAGTGCTGTCACTGGCATCCGTCCTCAGCCCAGCCCTGCCCAGTGCACCCAGGTGCCGCAGGGGTTTTCCACCCTGCAGATTTTGCACTGGATTTCAAACCCCCTCCATCTCTTGGAGCTGAAGATGACTTCTGCTTTCTGCAGGGTGCCCATCTGTGCTTACAAGGCATGACGGATCCCAAATACACATTGGAGCACAGATGCTTCATGCTGCCCCCACCCATGGTCCCCCACACTCTTTCACTGCTGGGCTTTGTCTTCTCAGAACTGTGGCTGGCAACGTGCTCCTGATTCCTTGCTCATAAATAACAGCAAGGGCTAGCACCTTTCTTCATTCTCATACTGCCTGTGCCATGGTGTCCCCATTGCTGAGGGCCACTGGTGCAAGATGGAGTGGTGGGAAACAGGGTTGGGTTTTCTGCATCTTCGTGAAGGAGGCCTTTGCATGTTTCCGCTTGTTAAAATGGCCATGTGAGATAAAGTCTGTGGTTTCCTCTGAGCATGTGAGAGAGGGGGGGAAGCAGCAGGGGCTGCAGAGCTGCAGCCGCTCTCAGCAGCGAGCCTTCCACGAGATGGATGCGGCTGGTGAGACCCCCGTGGGGACCCTCCCTGGGGAAGAGAACCCCGAGGTAGGTGCTTTTGACCCGGAGTGCTGGGGAGTGTGTTCGGGGTGTGACTGCTCCAAGGAGGGGATTGTGGCTGCTATGGCTGGGGGACACCAGGGTGCAGAGATGAGTGCTGAGGCTGTAAAAGGAGAACAAGAGAAGAGGGGCCTAGCCCGTGTCCCAGCAGGGATGTCTTTCAAGGGCGAGCAAGGAGTGGGGGTGGGGAGGTGGGGCACCATAGTCATGCAAATGTGCAACCAAGGGCTGTGCTGGGGGGTGGCTGCAGTTCTGTGTCAGCACTTAGCATCCCATCCCCGCTTAGCTGGGCTACAGCTTCCCAGCCCCTCCCAGCCCCTCTGGCTCCCTGATGCCAGCAGATGCCCTGAAGTCCCGCTCTCACCCAACCCAACCGACTGCCTCTGCAGCGGCCAGACAGACAGCATCCCCGTGTCTGCCCCTACGGAGATGGGACCCACAGCCCTGCACAACACTGCTGGGACCATGCCCACGTGGTGATCTGTCTTGGCTGTGTATTCCCCCCACCAGGGACTTGCTCTTTCTAAGGGATGAGAGAGCTGGGCTTGTTCAGTGTGAAGAGAAGAGAAGGCTCCTTAAGGGGAGAACTTAAAGCAGCTCCAGTGCCTAAAGGGGCTGCAGGAAACCTGGAGAGGGGCTTGGGACAAGGGCCTGTAGGGACAGCACAAGGGGAATGGCTTTAACCTGCCAGAGGGGAGACTGAGATGAGCTCTTAGGCAGAAGCTCTTCCCTGTGAGGGTGCTGAGGCGCTGGCACAGGGTGCCCAGAGAAGCTGTGGCTGCCCCATCCCTGGCAGTGTTGAAGGGCAGGTTGGACACAGGGGCTTGGAGCAAGCTGCTCTAATGGAAGGTGTCCCTGCCCATGGCAGGGGTTGGAGCTGGAGGAGCTTTAAGGTCCCTTCCAACACAAACCATTCTATGATTCTGAGTGTCACTGTCTCTGCAGCTGAGCTGGCCTCCTGCACTGGTGGCACTGTCACAGCAGCAGGCAGGGGGGATGTTGGTGGCTGTATCCAGACCTAGATTTAAGCAACACTCCTGGATTTGAGCTGGGCCTTTGTCATGGGGATTAGCAGCAGTAAATACATCCTGGTGGCCCAGCTCAGCTTTATCTTAACCAGACCCATGCACATATGGGCAAGCACAAAGCAGAATCCACAGCAGCTGTCCCCACTGGCAGAAAGGAGCAACATGGAGCTATCCCCAAAATCAACAGTGATTCCTCCCCCTGTCTTCTTGGGCTACTCCTCTGCTGGGCAAGGACCAGCAGCAGAGAAATAATAAATTCCTTTTTTCCTCTTTCCCCAGCAACCCTGCTTGTGGGGCAGCATTGCCCGATGCAGAAGGATTTGGGATGGGGCCAAGTCCACTGTGCCCCAGTGTAGGCAGGATGGTGCTGGGTGCAGGAAGGGCCCTCCGGGGTACAACAGGTTCCTCCTTTCACAGGAACTGTTGCAGCCCTTGGCACCAACCAGAGGTAGAAGGGGTCCTGGAGCAGGTGGGAGAGAAGTAACTCAAGGGTTAAACTCGCTGGGGGTAGGAGAGTTGAATTTAGTCCAGGTGGCTGGGGGATTATGCCAGCTTTAGATTTGCCATAAGCAAATGTAACCGCTCCAGCTCAGGATTGTGGGGGATTCTAAGGTCATTTTGGGGCCTGGGCTGACTCACAGGTAGGGCTTATCCACCCATCACCCAAGCACAGCTGGGGATGTGCTTGGCATGTGTTCCTCGGCACAGAAAGGGCCAAACTCATTTCGGAAATTTCCATTACATTCTTTGTAATTCTTTGCATTCTTTGCATTGCACCCTTGTGCTCCCAGTGGCCCCAGCACTGGGAGCCATAAAGGGTAGCACAGAGGCACCAATTCCCTTCTCTTTGGCTGTGTCACCTGGCTCATGGCAGTGGCAAAGTTACCATCACCCAGCCAGGTGCTCTGCCATGTGGTGGCTGAATCCAGATTGTGGTTAGAGAAGCAGGATGGGCTCAGCCTCTGCACTGGGGAGGGAGCAGGGGGTGAGGATGGGCTGAGAGTTGGGGTTTGCCAGAGAATAGGGTATTTTTGGAAGAAGTGGTTTGATCTCCTGGATGGATCCATGTGGAACCAAGATGAGTGGGAGGTGACATTTGAGGTGGGGGACAACAGGGGCTGTGTGGGCAGCAGGACCTCTGCTCAGCCCCGGGGTTGCATGCTGCTGGAGCCGCAATGTTGTGCAATTTAACTGCCTTTTGGAAAGCAAATGCTATTGCTGGTCATGCTTCAAGTAGGGAATGGACCTTCAGCTCAACAATAAGTACCAGTGCACTGTTGGAGCAGCACCCATTTTTCAGGCAAGCGAACTCGTCATAAATCCCAATGGCTTTTTGAAGTTGCTTTGCCTATAGCTGTCTTGCCCAGCCTGTAGCTCCTCACCACGCTTTGTCCACTTGCCTTCTCCCTTGGCTCATTTTCTCTCCAGCCTGGTCCTGTTGGGCCTGGCCAGGCCAGTGAGCAGCTCTGTGGGGCAAGAGGTGGGAAGCTGGCTTTTAAAGCCTCCTATTGGTCCCCTCAAGTTGCCATCTTTGCTGCCCCCTCTTTAATTAACAGGGCTTGGGAGTAAAGTCCCCATGCTGCCCTGACAGGTGGTGATGAAGGAAGTGATTCCTCAACCACAGGGTTCCTGCAGGGTGTCACAGCATCCTTTGGGGCATCCCAACCCAATGGGCTGCAGGTGACGCCCCATTCTGGCTGCCGTGCCCAGCTGCTATTTCCTTCTAAAACCACCCTCTACTGTGAGACCTGACAAGAAACCTCTCTGTTTCTCTTCTTTCTCTAGATGGATCTGTCCCACCGGCTCTCAAAGAGAGAGGTACAGATATGAATATGGGCCCACCGTGGTCTCCCTGGGTGGCACTGGAGGGGGTGGTAGTGCTGCAGAAGCTTGGGGACATGGCTCAGCTCCTGAAGATGCTCCCCATGGACTCCCCTTGGTGGTCAGGCAGGGCTGTATGCCAGGAGAGAGGTGGCAGGGCCCAGTGGGAGCTGGCAGGGGGGACACCCCGTTAATCTTGAGGGGTGAATGGAGAAAGTCCCTGCTGGCCTGGCCCCAGGCAAGGTGTTGGCACCCCCCTTGCAGCTGACCCTGCTCTATGAGGAGGTCCTCTACACCATCCAGCACCGCTTGGGCAAGCCTGAGCACCACCATGTCATGGATTCCCAGGAGCTCTATGCCTACGTTCAAAAGGTAATTCCCCACCTCCCTGACGGGGTCCCCAAAACCTGTCCCTGACATAGAATCATAGAATAGTTAGGGTTGGAAAGGACCTTAAGATCATCAAGTTCCAATGGGCAGGGACACTTCACACTAAACCATGCCACCCAACGCTCTGTCTAACCTGGCCTTGAACACTGCCAGGGATGGAGCATTCACAACCTCCCTGGGCAACCCATTCCAGTGCCTCACCACCCTTACAGTAAAGAGCTGCCTCATATCCAATCTAAACTTCCCCTGTTTAAGTTTTAACTCATTACCCCTTGTCCTATCACTACAGTCCCTAATGAAGAGTCCCGCCCCAGCATCTTTGTAAGGCCCCTTCAGACACTGGAAGCTGCTCTGAGGTCTCCACGCAGCTTCTCTTCTCCAGGCTGAACAGCCCCAGCTTTCTCAGCCTGTCTTCATACAGGAGGTGTTCCAGTGGCCTCCTCTGGACTTGTTCCAACAGTTCCATGTCCTTTTTATGTTGAGGACACCAAAACTGCACACAATACTCCAAGTGAGGTCTCACAAGAGCAGAGCAGAGGGGCAGGATCACCTCCTTCCACCTGCTGGTCATGCTTCTTTTGATGCAGCCCAGGATACGGTTGGCTTTCTGGGCTGCGAGCGCACACTGCAGCCAGCTCATGTTCATTTTCTCATCGAGCAGCACCCCCAAGTCCTTTTCCACAGGACATGTCCATCCTCCCAGTGGAAGAGGATGGTGGGGGACACTCAGAGGAATTTTTTAAGAAGCATCTTGAAAGGCATAGCAGCAGCATCTAGCTGGAGGGCTGGGAAAGCTTGTGGCTGAGCAATATTAGGCTTAGGGAGAAATATTTGTCTTGGACTCAGAATGGTGGGAAGAAGACTTTCCCTGAAGAGCTTTCAATTGGCAAAGAGCAGCCCTTCTGCTGGGCTCTTTGCTGCTCTCTTCTCACCTGGAGCTGCCGCTGCCTCCCAGGGAGCAAAGGGAAGCCCTTGGCTGCTCTACAGCTACCGTTAACAGGGCAGCACCCATTACCTGGTATCTACATAGGCTTTTGGCATGGATGAAGAGGAGCACAGTGTCATCATGCAGCAGGTCAAGGAACTGGAGGTATGCAGCAAGACAGTGCCTCCCCAGTGTGCTGTGACCTGGGGGGGGGAAGTTCCTGCAGTGGGATGGTGCTGGGGGGCTGCAGTGTCTTTTGGCCCCTGTGCTTGGGCATTGGGGTATGGGGTGCCCTGGGCTGTGCTGGGGGAGTCACTTGGGAGCTGTTTGCTGGTCTGAACAGCAGCTGCTGGCGTGCGCATGCATGAGCCTCTGCTTCCTCACAGCGCTGTTGACTCCCACATTATTTTATTTTTTTTTCCTACTCTTCCAGAGCCCAATTTTCTGCCTGAAAGCAACCGTGAAGGAAGCCAAGGGGATTTTGGGTAAAGATGTCAGTGGTAAGTGGAAATGAATGGGTGTCCCATTGGAAAAGGGGCAGGCACTGCTCCAGACGGGGACTTGCATGCCTCCATCCTCGCAGGGTTCAGTGACCCTTACTGCCTGCTGGGCATCAAGACCAAGAGCCAGGAACTTGCCAACCCTGACCACAAGAAGCGGATGAAGGCTGTGGTCAAAGACCTCATCCCTGAAGACCAGATCCATCGCACACAAGTTATAAGCCAGACCCTCAGCCCGGTGTGGGATGAGACATTTATCCTGTAATCTGCCACCCCTTGGCTTTGCTCACTGGGGAGATGAAGGGGGGGAGGTTTCACTACTCACCCCAACCAGGAACTCCTAGGGCAATGCCCACTGGGGCTTGCCAGGCTTCTGATCTGACCTATGCAGCAGATCCAGGGAGGTGAAAAGCAAAAGCAGTCCCTCAGGGCTTCCCATGACTTTCCCAGGATGTGCAGGGTGGTTTCAGGGTCTCCCCCAGCCTGCCTGTAATTCCCAGTTGTCCTGTCTGCTTGCTGCCAGTTCCTTGGATGCTGCTTGAGTAACAGCATCCCACTGGTGCCTTGCAGGGAGTTTGAAGACATGGAGACAGCCAGCTTCCACCTGGACATGTGGTGAGCAGCAACCACCCTCAGGCCAGCAACCCTGACCCCCAACCCTGAGCAGGGTCCTGCCTCCTGGGAGGGTCCCTGGGATGGTTCTTCAACCTGCTCCCTTTAAAACCCCCAGAAACCAGCTGGGAAACCCTTTCCCTGTCACTGGCTGCTGGAGTAGTGCACAGTTCAGGATGTGACCAGCATGAGCAAAGTGTACCCAGGCTGGCTTTGCCCAGGCAGGGCTGATCCTGACCCCTGATTTTATTTATGGGAAGAAGTCACATGTTTGCACATTTTGGCTAGACACCTGGTTTTGGGAGATGGTCTTAATTCCAACACATTTCCCCCTCCAAGCACCTTCTTTCTTCCACCATCACTGGAGGGCCCTGAAGGGTTTTGCAATTGCTTGAATTTCCTCCTTTCCCATGTTGGGTTTCCCTGCTCACAGGGACTCGGACATGGTGGAGTCAGTGCGGCACAAGCTGGGGGAGCTGACAGACCTCCACGGCCTCAAACGGTTGGTGCTAATGGTCCTAATGGCTGATGAAGGAAAAGGGTTTGGAAAATGCTTAAAAATTGTTTTTGGAAAGAGGGCTGGAGGGTGGCAGGGCTGTCACCCTTCCTCACCTTAACCAGTGACTTTTCACAGTCACACACATCCTTGTTCATGGCTTTCAGGATCTTTAAAGATGCTCGCAAAGACAAAGGGCAGGATGATTTCCTGGGGAATGTGGTCCTTCACCTGAAGGTGAGCACTGCCATGCATCCTCTGGTCCAAGTGACTCCCCATGTGCCTCTTTAAACCTCCCAGATCTGGGCAGGATCCAAGCCCTGTGGCTACACTGAGCATACTCAGGATCCCAGCTTAGAGCCACAAACTGATGCCAGGTCCCTCAGTTTGGAGGCAGGTGCCCTGGCCATCAATTACTCAAGCTCAGTGATGATATATCATTTAGTTTTAATCCAATATTAGTGTTATCTTATACACCATCTTTCTATTCTATTAATGCAGTGGGACCTCATCCTGGATTGGAATCCTTCCCCTGGGAAGGCTACCTGGGGCTTCACCTTTGTCTCTGTTCAAGCAGGATCTGCACTGCTGGAATGACCGATGGTACCAGCTGGAGCCACGAACGGAGACGTACCCAAACCGGGGACAGTGTCACCTGCAGTTCCTGCTTACACACAAGAAGGTAGGAGGGGATGGGGAGGGGGGTCCCTATCCATGCCTTGGCAGGATGGGGTAGCTGCCTGTCCCTTGGACTCTATCTTGGGGTCACAGATCCCTGCTCCACGACCAGAGGTGGCAACATCAGTGTTTCCATGTGCTGTAAAACAGCTTGAGCTTCCCCTGAGCTGCATGCCAGCAAGGGTGCCTTGGTCCTCGTGCAACTGCACCACTTGGCTCAGCTTCAGGTGGGGCAATCTGGCCCCATGCTTTTCGGGTTCCTGTGTCCCACTCTCTGACTGCATCTCTGCATCTTCAGGCCGTTACGGTTATTGCTTCTATGCCTTGTGTCTTTTCAGAGGGCCACCACGAGCAGTCGAACACAGCCAAGCTACGCTGTCCATCGCCACCTCCTGCAGCAGCTGGTGTCCTATGAGATCCTTCAGCACCAGGTATTGAGTGGGAGAATCCCTCTGGCAGCTGGGCTGGGGTGAGGGTTTCTTTTGGAGCCCATCACACTTAACACCTTGCTGCAGTGTGATGGGAAGGAGGGTCATGATGATGCCTGCCTGTGCTTAGCATTCTTACAGGGCACCCATTCCACATGTGGGCCTGCAAACACACCCTGCCTTGGTGCCTGTTCCCCTCCTTGCTCAGTCCAGCTTGCTCCAGGACTCACCACCCTCCCTTTGCATCCTTGCAGGCCGGCAACATTGACTGGGGTGGGGAGCTGAGCAGGCATGCCAGCACCGTGCTGTACCTGCATGCCACGCAGAAGGATCTCTCTGACTTCCACCAGGTCATAGTGTGAGTACCCCATGCCCAGGGAGCCACGATGCAGCATGAGGGTCAAGGACTCTGACAGCTCCCCTGGGCATTGTGTGACTGCAGCTGGAACCTCCAATGAGCTCCGGTGGTGCCCCCTGCCCTGAACAGGACCAGGGGAACTGGGTACCACGCATGCAATCTCAGCTGTAGCCAGGGTGGGGGGAGCCTCACGCTAGCCCCTGAGTGTCCACCAGCCCTGGGGGTTCAGCCCAGCCTCTCCTTTCCCCCTAGGAGGTGGCTGGCATACAGCAAGCTCTACCAGAGCCTGGAGTTCAACAGCAACTGCCTGCTCCACCAGATCACCAGTATTGAGTACCAGTGGGTACAGGAGCGCCTGAGGCCAGAGCAGGTGAAGGGGGCTCTGGCACCATGCAGGGGGCAGAGATCAGGGGAATGTGCCCCATGCACCCAACCCCATGCCTCTCCTCCCAGCTCCCATGGCCATTTCCATCCCTGTGTTCCAGAAAGGGCAGGACCTTGGGGGGTACAGGAGTTCTGGGGTGTCTGCAGGGCATTTCTGAGGAGAACCAGCCTCAGGAACCAGGACAACCCAGGCTCAGGGAGCCCCTTTGCCCCAGAAGTTTGTCTCCCCTGTCCATGCATAAGCCTTTACTCTTTGCACTGACATCCCCCCTCCTCCATCACTGCTATCAAGTCAATCACAACCCTCTACAAGACCTAAATATGACCCAATTCTTACTTTACCCAGCCCATGAGTTTTCCCAGAGCATGCCAGCAGCTGCTGAGACTCTGAATTTTTCAGGCGTAGCAACGAGGTTTAAGTACAAAGCTCAGTTCAGAGAAGTTACTGGAGGCATTGGGGTTTCCCACCCCTAGAGCATGCTAGAAAGGAACAGGAGACACCAGCTCCCTCCATCACAGGGTCATGGTCCTGCCAGCATCTCTTGTCTGCCACTAAGGTGGACAGCACATGTTTCCTTCCTTCTCCCCAGAAAGCAGAGGTGGCCGAGTCCTTCCAGTCCTTGCTGACTTATGGGGTCTCCCTCATTCGGAGGTACCGCATCATTTTCCCGCTTTCTGTCCCAAGGTCCACAGAGAGACTCCAGTCCCTGCTCCGGTGAGTTGAGCACCAGTGCCAGCTGTGCATGGGGTCCTATGGCTTAGCCCCCATGATGGACAAGCCTGTAAGCTTCAGCAAAAACCTACATGAACCCTTTCTGCCCCCTTCTAGGCTGCTGTGGCACTTGTTCTGTCTTGTCCCTCATCCTGGGCTCTCTGTGGTGGTTGGTGCTGGGAGGGGAAGATCCACTTGGGTAGGGTTCTTGGGGAGAGAGTTCGTGGTTTCTGAGGGACTGGTGCTGGGTTTCACTTCAGGTTCTTGCTTTGCAGAGTCCTGGTCCAGATGTGCAAAATGAAAGCTTTCCATGAGCTGTGCACGCCCAGCCCCAAACTCCCCCACATGGTCTTCACAGCGCTGAAGGTAGTGGGACCAGGGTCTCACCCTCCCAGTCCTGGTCAAGTGGGACCCTGCACACTGCCCATGCAAAGCCACATGGACCACCATGAAGGAGGGAAATACCTGCCCCTCTTCAACTTGATGGTCCCAGCCTGGGGTTACAACCACATGGGGCTGGGTCCTGCCACACCAGGGGACAGAGGGAGTGAAGGGGGTGGCAGAGCTGGCTTTGCTCCTCCTGCTTCCCTGCCATCACACCATGATTCCTGTCTTGCCAGTCAGGCACAACAGAGTGGTTCCATATGAAGAAGCAGCATCTCAAGCCCATGGTGAAGGTCAGTTCTCATCTCTGCCTCCCTGACATGATAAGGAACAGTTTGCTGGGTAGGGGGTGGGAGTCCCAAGGCAGTGGGAAGAGAAGACTGAGACGAGGCTTCTCCAGTTTTCTGATTCATCAAGGCATTTGGGTTTCCAGCTTAAAAGTACCATGAGCCATGCTATCTGCAGCTGCCAAGGTGCCTTGGGGGTTAAGGCCTTGTTGCAATGCTCAGAAGAGGTGGTCCCCAGAGCAGCCATGCAAACACATGATGACATTGAATGTTATCAACAACTGGTGCTTAGTGGATCTAAGGATAGATTGCTACCTCACGAAAAAAAAACATACAAATAAAACAGATTAGAACAGAGCTCAGGTCATCTCAAAATAACTGAGCATTGAAAAGAAGCTGTTCTTTCCTTTGCAGAGCATGGAGGAGAACGGCAAAGCCTTGTCCAGACTCCTCCTGGAGGTGTTAGGAGATCTCCAACAGTGCCAGAAAATCTGGAATAGATTTTTCATCAGGTAGGTTTTGGAGCTTGATCCCCCCCATCCCTGGGGTGAAGAGCAACAGGACACTTTGATGCCTCATTCCTTGGTTCTTGGGCTCCACAGATAGTATCTGTGGTCCCACCTTTGCTTCTTAGACCTGTACTATCCTTGCCATTATGGAATGGGCATGGCCTAGGAGGGTTTGCTCGGCTGGAGCCAAGAGGCTCCTGATTCCCTGTTTCTCTCTTGCAGCACCTTGAAGTTGAATCTCTTCTCCATCGCCTACCTGGAGCTGGAGAGGCTGGTGAGCAAGGCTGGGCTGCTCTGCACTTGTAGGACTAATGTCGAAAGCAAGGCTGAGGTTTATGGCCACCCTTCACATAGCAAATGGTTGTTGCAAGCCTGGAAAGGGAGCAAGCCGGGGAAACTCTCCATCTTTCCCTGTGAGCCCTGTGAGCCCAAGACTACCATCTGCTTACTTGACCTAATGAATCTCCGGAAATGCCACCCAAAAGGAAGAGGAGTTCCCTGAGCTGATCCTCACCCATGGCTCTGCAGAGCCCCAACCAGACCAAGCCTTCCTGGCTGGACCTTCACTAACAACTGTCTCCCTTCCATTGCTCACTACCAGGTTGCGGAGCATGTCCAGGAGCAGCTACGCGAGGTCAACAGCAGTATGTCCAAACCCACAGCCGAGAGCCTTTTCCAGCTCTACATGAACCTCCAGGAGCTTTATCGGATGAAGGACTTCCTCCCAGAGAGGTATCCAACCCAGGGAGAGGGAATGAGCAGTTTACTGAGAGGAACTCTAAATCCTTCCAATTCACCTGCATCAGTAATTACACACAAGGCAGACAGGGCTGTTGGTGTCTGGTGTTGATATGAGCATCACCAGAAGGGTTTCAGGCCCTTCTGTGAGTGGGCCTGATAGAGACCTCAACTTCCAGACAAGTGGAGGTTTCACCTTAGCATGTTGCTACGTGCTGCCTCCACCGCAGGTCAGTTTCTTGTATGCAAGAGCAAGGAGGGCTGATGGTCTGTGCTACTGCTGTGCAGTTGAAGAAGCTGCTGCCTTCATCCACAGGGATGGACCTCTGGCTCTGAACAATTTCCACCAGTGGTTCAAGGAAGGTGTTCCCCAGTGGCTGCAGAAGGCCTACACCATTGCTCTGGAGAGGGCACAGAGAGCTGTCCAAATGGACCAGGTAACCCAGGGAGGAGGAGAGCATCTCCCTGCATCCTCTGGGGACACTTCAGCTCTCTCCATACCTTTCTGTGGCACCTGGCTTATGGCATTGAGACCACCACATAGGTGCCTCTTGCAGCCCAGGAGCAGGCTGGTTCCTCTCACAAACAAATAACAAAGGATGGGGTGTCATGGAGCAGTTGATCCCACCCATGCCCCTTCCCCTGCCGCTCTCTGGCAGCCTGAGCAAGCTGATGATCATGCATTTGGGCCATGCTGTGAGCACCCACGCTTCTCTTCTGACCTTTCGGAAGAGGGGAGGGAAGGCAGCCATGGGGCAGTGGGCTCCTTGCCCCACTCTTCAGTGTGTTCCAACAATGCTGGGTGGAGTACAGTGGAGGACTCCGTACAGGGAGCTCAGGCTACTTCTTCTGTCCTCATCTCCTCCACTCTCCAAAGTGGTGGCATTGGGATATATGGGAAGGGATGATGGGCCCCAAAGTAAAGGAGCAGCTCTCCTTATGTCAGATGGCTTCTTTCAATACAAGCCAAGTTGCATTTATTTTCTCTGCTCCCTCAGCTGACACCCTTTGGGGAGCACAACAAGCACAGCACTTCCACTGTTGACCTGTCCACCTGCTATGCCCAGATTGTGAAGACCTGGCAGCAGATCAACTGGCCAGACCCTGAGGAAGCCTTCATGATCATGGTGAAGCTTGTGGAGGTTTGTACACCAGGCCCTGCCAGCAAATACCATGCTCACGGACATCAGCAAAGTATCTTCTGCTCTTGGAGAACTGTCTCTAAGAATGGGGCCGGTGTCCCATGTTGACGTGGTGGGGTCCCCTGACCCCATGCTGCCCAGCTCAGTCTTGTTGGCTTCTTCTCTATCCCACAGGACATGTGTAGAATTGCCCTGATGTACTGCCGGCTCATCAAGGGGAGGGCTGAGGCTCTGTCGCAGCACAAGCAGAATGAGGGTGAAGAGGCCAACAGGGTTGGTATTGGGTCAGGGTCCTGTGTAGGGAGAGACAGGATTTGGCCATGGTTTCTGGGCAAAAAAAAAAAAAGAGATGAGCTGCTGAGCATCCAGCCAGCATCCCACGTTTGGGTTTCACAGAGATTGGTTGGCCCCTGATATAGCCACAATCCTGGAAAATCAGGAGGGAAATGATGCGAGCAGGGGTAGCAGGATGAGAATGGGGAATGGGAATAGTGATGGAGATAGGACTGGGCATGGGGGGATGCACCAAGGGGTGTGGGACACCCTGAAGCAGATCCGTTTTCCACAGCTCTGCATCGTGGTGAACAACATCAAGCAGCTGCGGCTGCTGATCCTGAAGCTGCCATCGCAGCTGGACTGGGTGCAGCTGGAGCAGCGCACGGGAGCCGTCATCGACCGGCAGCAGATCCAGCATACGCTGCACAACCAGCTCGACAGCACCATCTCCTGCCTGGATCACGAGGTCCAGGAGGTGGTGCAAACCCTGGCCACCAAGGTAACCACCTGCCACTGGCTCCCCTTGGCCCTTGCCTGGCCCAAAAGTGGGGAGGTTTTACCCAAGGGGGCCTGGAGCCCATAATGCTCCTGGGATGGAGATAAGAATGGGCCTGTGCATGGGGAGGCTCTTGCAGAGGGTAAAGCCCAAGAGCCTCTGTGCATTTCTCCCTGGCAGCTGGAAAAGGGCATTGCCAGACACATCCAGGAGCTCTCATCTTCTAATGACACCAGGGAGCCTGAGGATGTAAGTACCGGCCCAGTTCCCCCCAGACCATCTCTTTTGGGCAGCCATGAATAACTTTTGCCTACTTGGTAGAGACCCCTGTTACCCTTCCCCAGCTCTCCCTGCCCCACACCTGGGGCACAAGTCACACCACCAATGTGGCCCAAACATCCAAATGCTGACATTTGATGCCCATGCTAGCAGCAGGACCAAACAGGGCACAGCCTGCCCATGTCTTCACTGCGGGAGGGAGCCCTGGACCCTCCCCTTCCCTTCTGGCTCCAGCCAGCAGTGCTCTGCCCCTCTCCCCACTGTGATCTGCGGGATATGCCCCTCCATGCCCTCCCCAATGCTTCTCTCATCTCGCTGCAGGCCATCATCCCCCTCATGAAGTTTCTGGAGTCAGAGCTGCAGTATCTCAATGAGCATCTGGTCCAGGAGAACTTTAAAAGGTGATCAGGGCACTGGGGATGCACCATGGCAGAGGCCAGGTCCCATGGGTCTTGGGAACCTCCCGCTCTGGGCTGGCTGCTCAGCCCTGGGGGATAAGCCCATTCTCTCCCGGGCTTTGCAAAGCCCCTCAGCTGAGGACTAACCTCCCCAACTCATCCCCTGGGATCCCTCACAGTCTTCCTTCCTTGCCCCTGCAGCCTCCTCACTCTCCTCTGGCATCACACCTTGGCCGTGCTGTCAGCAGCCATGGGGCAGCAGGTCCCCTCAGCCCAGTGCTACAAGAAGCTGCACTGTGCCCTGAAGGTACCAACGGGGGAGCTGCGGAGTCCCTGGCCGGGCTGGCTGTTTGGCTGCTGACTAACACCATCCTTCTCACCAGAGCCTGGAGCTGTGCTTCCATGCCGAGGGCTGTGGACTGCCGCTGGAGATGCTCCACACAGCAGTCTTCCAGGTACAAGGTGCTGGCGATAGCTGGGGAGGGGGTCCCCAGGCGTTTCCTTTGGGTGGTCTCCAGGGATGACATCCCTGCACTGTGGACCTGTTGTGTGTTTGACTGTCACCTCTCATCCTCCCTGCAGTCGCTGGACACCCGCCTGGACCTCTACTCTGCCACCAGCCGCAAACTCATCCAGAAATACTTCAGCAACAGGATCCAGCAGCAGGTAGGAGGCAGGATGGTGCCCCCAGCTCCTTCCTACATCCCACCCTTGCACATGCAAGGCTGCCTGGCACAGCCTGCCTGTGAAAAGGTGGGATTTACCCACCATCCTCTCAGTCCTGGGGCTTTTTAGGCTAGTTTTGCCCCAGTGGCAGAATGGAGAGAGCTCAACTGCATCCCAGAGAATGCCCATCACCCCCTCTACCCCAAAGTGCCTGCTCACCCTCCACCAGACACTGGGTATCCCCTCCATTAAGCACCTTATTCTTGTACCCCCCCCTCAGCTGGATGCCAGCTCGGAGAAGTATGGGGCTGTGACCATCAAAGCACTGTACTGCCCTTCGGAGCAGAAACTCCATGTGGAAGTCCTCAATGCTGTCAACCTCATCCCTTTGGACTCCAATGGTGAGTAGGGTGGGCTTGGGAGGCCCACCATCTTGGGATCTCCTGCCCCTGGGTAGGAGAGTTGCTGGCAATGTTTGGATTAATGGGACTCTCTCTTGAGTTGCTTTTGCATTCGAGGAGGTGGGTTTGAGAAAGAAAGGAGGTTATTGCACTGGTCTGAGGTGGTCCAGTGGGATGAGGCAGGCAGGACACACATCCCACTGCCTTCAGTTTGCAGGACAAGCTAGCAGCCAGGGCAGGTGGATTTTTTCCATCATGCAAACCATGTCTCGGCCCCAAAAAACTATGCCAGGGTGACAAGAGGCAGTGTCCCAGGGTGGCTGTCATTTGGGGAGGTCTCCAGGAGAGGTCACTCCTCTTGCAGCCACCTATGGGGTAATCAGGGTTGGGGAAGTTCTTGCATCCTCCCAGGGGCTGGGCTGGGTGGCAGCAGGAGGGACCTAACATCTTCTCCACACTAGGCTCCAGTGACCCCTTCATCCAACTCACCTTGGAGCCCCGGCATGAGTTCCCCGAGGTGGTGGCCAGGGCCACCCAGTGCAAGAGGAATGAGCGGCACCCCCTCTTTGATGAAGCCTTTGACTTGTATGTAGGGGCTGACATCCCCGGCCCCCCTCCTCCCCCAATCCCCTCTGCTCCCCAAGCTTCAGCTGAGCTTCGGCTATGGGACTGCTGCTCTGGGAACTGGGTCCTGTCCTGGGATTTCACCCCCTGCTCAGCTGTGGGATCCCACGGTGAGAGCTGGGGTAGGGGCACCCTCAACACCTGGGTCCCACAGGATAGTGTGGGGCTGTACAGGGCCCCTGTGCTTTGAAGGGGTTGAGGTCAGTGCAGGGAAGCAGGGGGGAGCATCACAGTGGAGAAGCCTGTGGGGACCTATTTGGTCCCTGGAGGGAAGGCTGAATTCTGTGATGTGATGGTCCCTGCATCCCATCTCCCTGCAGCTTGATCCCTGCTGAGAAGTGCCGGCAGGAGGGTGCCTGCCTTCTCCTGACCGTGTTTGACTACGACATGCTGGGGGCCAACGACCTGGAAGGTGAAGCCTTTTACCCCCTCTGCCACCTGCCTGGCCTCAACACCAATGAGGACCCTGCTGATGCAGGAAGGGTGCCCCAGACCCGCCTCCCTCTCACACACCCCAAACCCACTGGTACGTGGAGCCACTGCCGAGCTGAGCCCTCACCAGCCCCACAGCATGAGGAGGGGCTGCAGTGAGCATCTCCCACCACCGCTCCCCTCCTCTTTGGCAGGAGATGAGATTCTCCAGCTGCTGGAGTCCAGGAAGGGGGACAAAGAGGCTCAGGCCTTTGTTAAGCTCCGCAAGCAACGAGCCAAGCAGTCCAAGGAGACAGAATGAGGCAGAGGAAGAGGGGCCTGAAATGAGGGGCTCCAGCCAATGGGACCCCTCTAGAATTTTCCTGGTTCTGGGGCTAGAGCCATCTGCAGGGACCAGGAGTGAGAGGGGGTCCCTGTGCCCTGCAAACCTTCCCAGCATTCACCTCTCCCCCACCCTTGGGTAGCTCCTGTGAGGCTGGGGAGGGTGTACCTGGTATTTCAGGGCATTTCTTTGCCTGTCTGGACTAGCGACAGTACTCCAGGGATGGGAAATTGTCTGGCTGTCCCTGCCCACCCCCTCTTTAGCTAGTCACTGCTGGTACCACATCTTGTGGCCATGTCCCAGAAACTCCTGTCTGCAGCATGCGGTCAGGGCAAAGTAAAGGCATCATCATTTATTTGGGGTGTGGACAACCAGTGGCCAAACCTGCTTTTTTCTTTCTTTTTTTTTTTTTTTTTTCCCCTTTTCATCTATTCTTTTCCCTCTTTTTTCCCATGGCATGGATCAGCCTCTAATTTTAAATTAAAAACTTCAAAGCTCATGTGTGATCTGAGTCTGTGCAGGGAGTGCTTTAGGTGATGGCCCTGGGCTGGACAGAAGCTGTGGCAGTAGCGTGGCAGGGTGGGTCAAGGCATTTGGGGTAAGGTGAGGGCTCCCATCCTTGATGGGGTTAAGCCAGGAAGAGGCAGCTGGATGCAGAGTTTCAGAGGGAGGACACGGCACATGAATGAACTTGTCCAAGTTTCCCATTGAAAAGAGGATGGGGAGCTGCAATGGTGCTGAGGCAGGCACCACTGGGAAGGAGCTGGACTGGCACCAGGAGGCAGCAGGGTCCCGCACCCCAGGGCCAGCAATGCCTGGCCTGGTGGGCACTTGTTCCTCCCCTCCCAGCCTTGGCTGGTCCCTGCAGGTATCAAGTCTTTTGTGGATTGGAAGGGACCTTAAAGCTCCTCCAGCTCCAACCCCTGCCACAAGTAGGGACACCTTCCACTGGAGCAGCTTGCTCCAAGCCCCTGTGTCCAACCTGGCCTTGAACACTGCCAGGGATGGGGCAGCCACAGCTTCTCTGGGCACCCTGTGCCAGCGCCTCAGCACCCTCACAGGGAAGAGCTTCTGCCTAAGAGCTCATCTCAGTCTCCCCTCTGGCAGGTTAAAGCCATTCCCCTTGGCCTGTCCCTACATCCCTTGTCCCAAGCCCCTCTCCAGCTTTCCTGCAGCCCCTTCAGGCACTGGAGCTGCTCTCAGGTCTCCCCTTCAGGAGCCTTCTCTTCTCCAGGCTGACCCAGCCCAGCTCTCTCAGCCTGGCTCCAGAGCAGAGCTGCTCCAGCCCTCGGAGTTATGAGTTTGGGCAAGGGCTTGGCCGTGCTAAACCAGCCGGGCTGTTTTCCTCTGCAGGGACTCAGGTGGTGTTGTTCTGAGTTATGGACCATTGCAAAATATCACCTACACCGAGGTATAAATCTAACAGCCAGGAAAGCTGCCACTGCCTGGCTCAGGACGGAGGTGGGTTTTGGTCTGTGACTCACACATAAGCACAAGGTCTGGCCAAAAGGCTTTCAGGATGGGCAGTGTGTGGTAACTGATGACGAAAGAAGGACCCCATGCAGATTTGTGAGTCCCCAGCTGTGCAGTGCTGGGAGAAAGCAGGAGCCATTACTGCCCAGCCTGGCACTGGACCTGGCACCTCATTGCAGAAAGCGAGTCTGGCTTTCTCGTCCCATGATTGTTTTTCTTTTGAAAATGCTCATAGCTCTTGGGGTTTGTATTTTACCACCACCTGCACTGGGCATCATCTGCAGCAAGAAGAAGCATAGGCAGCCCCATCAGCCAAACCTCAGGGTGCTTTGGGCCGCCCAGAACCCAGGCACAGCAGCAGGTCCCTGGTGTTGCCCCCAGTTTTTTCTGGGAACCTGGGTCCCTCTGGCAGGGGTGGGAGCACTGCAGGGTGCATGTGGGGTGAGGTGGTTGGTGACGCTTTTGGAGCAGCAGTCTTACGAGGGGTGGCTGAGGGAACAAAGGTTGCTCACCCTGGAGGACAGGAGGCTCAGGGGCTACCTTATTGCTCTGTAAAACCACCTGACAGGAGGATGGAGCTGGGGGCTGGGGTGGGTGTGTGTGGATCTGTTCTTCCAAGTAATAAGCAACAGGATGAGAGGAAACAGTCTCAAGTTGCACCAGGGGAGGTTTAGGCTGGACATCAGAAAAACTGTTACTGAAAAGGTTGTCAAGCGCTGGAACAGGCTGCCCAGTGTGGAGTCACCATCCCTGGAGGTATTTAACAGATGTGTAGATGCAGTGCTTAGGGACCGTGGTTTAGTTGTGGACTTGGCAGTGCTGGGTTAACGGTTGGACTTGATGATCTTAAAGGTCTTTTCCAACCTAAATGATTCTTACTCTGTGATTCTATTTGGTGGTGCTTCTTGGAGCTCATTTAAGCTGCATATATTACTAGTCATTACTAATAATAAATGGGGAGCTCCCTCTGCCCTCATCCTCCAAGGGGGTGCTGTGCTTGAGCTGCAGCAGGTACCTGGGAGCTGCCATGTTCTGGAAAATTAGAAGCATCACCCTCCCAGGTGCCTGAGAACCTGCTGGGCAGAGAAATCACAGGGTCAGCCCAGGACAAGCTCTCAATGCAGGGGTGGGAAAAACCCCAATGAGCTCCTTTCGTGTTGTGTGATGTGGTGAGGCTCAATCAAACCCGAAGCAAGAGGATTAAGGTGCTGCTGGCTCACAAGAAAACATTTGCTGGTTTAAGTCACTCGTTTCAGCCCCTCCCCACCCCCCTGTAGCTCTGCAGAGAAATAAGGTTCTGGGGAAGGGTCCCTGCTTATAGAAGAGGAGATGCCATCCCAGGTTGCTGCTGCTGCTCCCAGTGAGGAGAAGCCCCGTGCCTGCCCCCCTGCAGCGTATCTGGGGTTGGCATCCGCCAGCACCTGGCCTCATGCTCCATTGCAAGGCCGTTACGCAGCGCTGAGCCTTGGGTGTTGTTTGGGTTTAGCTCCAAGTTTAAAATGGTTGTGCTCTAACTTTCCCTGGGCTGCCCATCACCCAAGCTGGCATCACCGCAGCAACCAGTGTGGCCCCAAGAACGGCTGACACTGGCAAACCTCCGGTTCGGGGGTGTTCGTACTTTATTATCCAAGGTAGCGTAGCTAAATGTTTTGCTCAGCTCCGGGCAGTTGTGTGAGACCCACCCAAAAAGAAATCATACCCTTTACAGAGAAAGAAATAAATGTTATGCTTGGATTGTTTAACTAACCCCATGGACCAGGAGGAGAATAGCCTAAGCATTAAAAAGATACGGCTTGAAGCACACAAAACCAGCTCCTAGCAAATGTAAGACTGAGGAGGAAGAAACCCCCATCACCTGGTAAAGAACCCCAACAGAGGCAAACTGTTACAATGCAAGAGGGAAGGGGGTAGGCAGCCTATGAAATTTTATTCTACTACTAATACCCTGTAATAAAAATTGGGTGATTTAAATGGCTGTCCTGGGTTCAGCAGTAGCTGCCATTTTTCTCCTCCTTAGTAGCTGGTGCAGTGCTGCGGCTTTGACTTTCAGCCTGGGAACAGCACTGATAACACCAATGGTTTTAGTTGCTGCTTAGCAATGTTTACTCTGACCAAGGACTTTCTGAGTCTCGTGCTCTGCCAGGGAGGAGGGGAAGCCGGGAGGAAGCAGAGACAGGACACCTGACCCAAACTGGCCAAAGAGGTATTCCATATCACAGCATGTCGTGCCCAGTATAGAAACTGGGGGCAGTTACCCGGAAGGGCTAGATCACTGCTCAGGTCGGGCTGGGTAACGGTGGGTGGTGAGCGGTTGTATTCTCTTCCCTTGTTATTTCCCTTATCATCATTATTATTGGTGGCAGCAGCAGTGGTTTTGTGTTATACCTTAGTTACTGGACTGTTCTTATCTCAGCCTGTGGGCGTTACATTCTTTCGATTCTCCTTCCCATGCCTCTGGGAGCCGGGGCAGGAAGCGGGGGAGTGAGCAAGTGGCTGTGTGGTTTTTCTGAATTACTGACTGGACTCAAACCATGACAATGGCCTTTGCCCACAGCAAGGGGGTTGAAACTCTATGATCTTCAAAGTTCCTTCCAACCCAAAACCAGTCTGGTTCTATGATTCTCTTCCCCACCCAATTACACTGCACCACCACCCCCCCCCCGCTTCCATTGCATCTTGACCATAAAGGTGAAGGGCAATCCCACCCACCCATAACCTACACTGAGAAATGGGGCTTGATCCAGAGGGGATTCTTGGGCACCTGAAAGGGAGAAGGCAAACCTGGCTCTAGATTGTTGTTCAGAGGGTTCCACTGTTCACATCTCCCTGAGGCCCTCAGCAGGGCACAGGGCTGCACAACCGCCCTGGGCTCCATGCACGCACACACACACACACTTCAGCAGATTTCTTTTTTCTTAGCAAAAAAATAAAAATTTATTGTCATCTAAAAAAAAAAAACCAACAGAAAAAACAAACAAACCAAAACCCATTCTGCCCTTGGAAACTGTGACACAGATCGAGTTCTTTCCAGCCCCACATGCAAATTCACTCTGCCAAGAAAAAGAGTCTAAACCGGGTATCCGACAGCCAAAACACGTATTTACAGAGTACGAGAGAACAACAGCTGAAATCACAGTTCTATACATGGAATCAACAACACGTTTTACACAGCACCGATCACCATTCTGCCAACTTCTACACAGACTAGGGGCGCTTCTGCCCAGTGCCCCTCCTCCTGGGGATGAGCCTGGTCAAGAATTGCCACCAGAAATACTGCAGTGTGTATTATTATTATTTTTTTTAAACGTATACTGTATTTATTTTGTTTTAACATTGGAAGCTATGGAGTGGGGAAGCCCCAGAAATCTCTCTGACGCAGTCACTAGTTTGCAGGAATACCTCACCTTTAAAATATCAGGTTTTACATCAGTAACATCTATTCTGTTGGCCATCACTCCAAGGATTATTCTAATTCTGGAGGAAAACACTGGTAATATTCTTCCTTCTCAGATGAGGAAGAAGAGAGGAGGCTGGTGGAAGAGCAATGAATTACTAAGCCTGTCCAGCATTACACACCTCCTCACAGGGTAAAGGCTTCTCTTCACTGTCTCAGCTGCATAAGCCTTGCAGACGGCTCAAGTTCAGCTTCAGAGATGTACAGAAAGTGTAAAACCCTGCAGCAGGGGACTGGCTACAGCACCCCCCTTCAGGGGAAAAACATGCTCCAGCTCCAAGACCTTCGTCTGGTCCCTCCTGTGCCACTGTGCCCTGGCCACAGGTGGCAGATGGCTACAGCATCTAAGGCCAGAGGTGACCTAAAAGTGGTCCTGTTAGTCGAAAGCACTGACAAAATTCTTCAGCTCCTGGCTATCGCCCTTGCTTTTTGATGTCCATCTACCCAGGGTGGTGTTGGCTTAAGCCACCTGCTTCTATATTCTTTTTTTATAATAATGTGTAAGTTTGCTCTTTAAGATACTGTGGTTTCACAACACAATTAAGAATCTCTTCCCCCAGTTCTTCAGTCAG